CCAGGCAACGACTGAAACGAGATATTCTTTGAGTTAGAAGATCTTGAGTATGTTGACTAATTATCTTATACATATTACATATTGAATATCGTATATTGCAACTTCTAATCTTCTACAATATTAATCAAGGGGTGATCGATTACCATGTCGTTTAGCGACATCATACGCGAACGATTTCTTTAATGCTTGGAGACATTCGATTGACAATATCATTATATGTGTAATGAGGTTTGCTAAACTCGAGATTAACCAAGGTTGTTCCTACTTCTAGATCTTTACTTACGATAGCTCTAACATATTGTATAAAAAGATGGGGATCTAATTTTTGTACATATCTTAATAACAAATGTAGAAACATGGAGAGCTTCAACGGTGCATAATTGTACGAGCGTAATGATAAATCCATTGTGTCCGCACGTGACGCAGCTGAGAGATGCATTTGCTGATATGGAAGATGAAGATTTTTAAGTTTGATATAGTTTAATTCAGACTTTGTTTTTTTTTTTTTTGATCTAATGATCAGCGCGTCGATTATTAAAGTTTGCTAGGTTTTCAATGATGATCTATATTTATTTAAATTTTACGAATTAATAGTAAAACTATTAAGCATATAGTTGATTAAAATAACATCGTTATTATTAATCTTTGCAAAATTAAAGTTTGAAAATTTATATATATATATATATATATATACTTATCAAAATACTAGACTAAAGATATTGTAATATAAAATTGTATGTAAATCTTTGTAGACATAATCCCTTATCATATTTCATAACAGATTTAGCCTTTTGTTCTAAAATGTTAACTTTCCCATGAAAATATCTTATAAATAACAGACATATTTGTTACATATTTTAAAATATTTAAATAAGGTAAACTGTTAATTAATCTCTTTTTTAGATGGTTCATAATAGACAAGAAGAGGAATCATTCAATTATAACAAATGGAAATTTAACAAACATACTTTAAATTTTACACTATTTATGTTTTTTAAAGAGATTAAAAAATTAAAAATACATGATAATATATTTATATATATAACAATAACACCACGAAAATTCAGGAAATATTATATGAATTTGGAAAAGATAAATTTTAAACTTCTATATCCAATTCAATGATATTAGAATCTTTACGTACTTATCATGTTCTAAATTTTACTCATAATTAAATCTAAGGAAATAATCCATTATTATCATAATCTATTCAATATTACCGACTGTTAGATAATTTAACTATAAATATGCATAACCATGTTCTTAAAAATTACAACTATTATTAATTCATCATGGCCTCTAAAAAAATAAGAATTTCTCCTTTTGTTCTAGCTAGCGAAATCAATCCTGCCAATGATCAATACAAGATCAAAGTGCGTGTTATGAGGATTTGGAAATCGTTTAAGACTCTAGAGATGGTTCTAATTGATACAGAGGTATGTTAGTTTCACGTCTATTTTAATTCTTGTGATTCAATAAGTTACATTGTACATGTGTTATTAAATATATGATGAATTTGTGTATATATATCAAACTTTTTGTTTAATACTATCTTCTCCATCGAAGGGAACAAGGATCCATGCATCTATTGAGGAGTCTTTGGTTAATAAATTTCAGCATCAGCTTGCTGTTGGTGATACGAAGATAATAGACACATTCGGTTTAGTTGATTATGATGGTGATTACAGAACAAGTTCATTAGGTTTTAAGATGTTGTTCTATAGAACTACTACGGTCAAACCGTTTGATGATTTTCCAACTAAAATTCCTGAAAAATATTTCCGAGAGTTTTCTGATATTTTGGCCGGAAAAGCAGAAAGACATTTGTTGATCGGTGAGTTGTCAAATTCGTAATATATACTCTTTTAAGTAAATAAATAAGTACAAATTTTCTAATCGTAATAATTTTTTATTGTTTATGTAGATGTAATTGGCCAGATTGTTAACGTCGACTGTCTTGAGAGTATCAAAACTAAAGGGAAGGATAATGTGAAACTGGCTTTCGAATTGCAAGATCTGAAGTATGGTTTTATTTTATTTTAAAGTATAAAGTATATAATTAATATATTTTAAAATTTAGAAATTTATAGAGTAAATTATTAGTATATTTATTATTACAAAAAAGGAGCTCACTATTTTTTTATTATATAGGGGTACAAAGTTAAATTGCACGCTGTGGGGTGATGTTGCTAGAAATTTTGAAGGTTCGATAAAAGAACATGATGAATCTGTCGTCGTATGCGTTATTCGATTTGCATGCATTAAGGAGTGGAGAGGTAATTTTGATTGTCCATGAGAAATTGCTTTCAATATTTATCACGATTACGTATTAAAACGATTTTCAAATTTCAGGAGTTTTTAGCATATCCAACTCTTTCGGTTCAACAGATGTTTTGTTCAACCCAAATATCCCAGAAGTGAAGAAGTTTACTAAAATGTCAAAACTTTCAGTTAATTTAAATTTGCATGATTATCAGAGGTGTTATTAGTATACATAAATTTACTTATTAGAATATTTATTTTTGACAGGTTGCCATCCGAGGTCGT